TGTGCACAGCCGCTGGCTTGCCACACATGACCTGCACCGTGGAGATGCGCACCATGCGACACGTGCAACAGTGCGAACAACGGCGCACGCCCCCATGTGCACCGGCTGCACACACTGCACCACACATGCACACCACCTGCACCGCCTGCACCACCCCGCCTGCACCACTCGCCTGCACACCGCTGCACGTACGCTGCGCCACCTGCCACGGCTGGCACCTGCCCACTGGCCACGCTGGCCACCACGCTGACCACACATGGCGCACGCTAGCGCCACACGTGGCCCACACACGCCACACATGCCACGCTGACACCACTGCACACCCCTGGGACGACACCTGCACCACTGCCACGCTTGCACACCCACTGCACACATGCGTGCACACGCGGCACACATGCCACACACTGCAACGGCAAGACACTGCCACCCCACTGACACGCCGCACACACTGCACACACACTGCACCGCTGCACAGCCATGCACAACATGCACACCATGCAACGCTGCGCCCCATGCAACGGCTACACGCACCTGCCCCGCTGACACACTGCACCACCCGCCGTAACACAACTGCCACCGCTGCGACCAGTGCGACGCTGCGCACATGCTGACACATGCACACGCTGCACACACTGCCACGCTGCGGCACACACGCAACAGTGCACCGTGGCACTCTGTGCAACGCTGCACACATCATGGCGGCCACGCTGACACACGCTGACACACCTGCACACGCTGCACACACGCCTGAACCGCGCTGCGCCACATGCCACTGACCACGCTGCGCTACTGCGCCACACTCACCACGCTGCGCACCGTGCACCGTGCGCACACGCGCGCACGCTCGCGCACACGCTTGGCACTCACACCGCTGCGCACACACACTCGCTGCCACCGCTGCGCACGCCAGTGCTGCGCACACATCGGGGCGGGCGGCGCGGCCGCTCCCTCAGAGCCAGGAAGCCCGGGACCCGAGGAGGGAGGGGCACTCCTGCCAGCCACCTGCAAGCCTCCCAGGACAGGGATGACAGCAGCTCCGTTTGCATGCGTGTTGGTGTGTGTGTGTGTGTCTGTGTCTGTGTGTTTCTGTGTGTATGTGTTTCTGTATATGTGTGTGTTTATGTGTATATATGTGTGTGTTTGTGTGTGTATATATGTTTGTGTTTGTGTGTATATGTGTGTATGTGTTTGTGTCTGTGTGTGTTTGTGTGTTGTGTATTGTTTGTGTGTTGTGTCTCTGTGTATATCTGTGTGTTGTGTCTGTGTGTGTGTTGTGTGTCTGTGTGTATATGTATATGTGTGTATATGTATATGTGTACATGTATATGTGTGTATATGTGTATGTGTACATGTATATGTGTGTATATGTATCTGTGTGTATATGTGTGTGTGCATATATGTGTGTATGTGTGTGTCTGTGTGTATATGTGTGTGTGTGTGTGTATATGTATATCTGTGTGTATATGTGGGGGGGGCACCAGGAACGAGAATTAGCTACAGAGTGAACGACAGACACACTCTGTTTTCCTAAGCCTTTTGGTTGTATCGGAACTTTAAAAGACACGTAACTATTTGATAAGACTTTAAAAAAAAAAAATCTCATGTTATTCTGTGACCCTCGAATTTATTCCTAGAGAAATAAAATCTTAGGTCAGAGGTTGAAACCTGGCAGCCAGCAGGGCAAACTAGGCCTGCATCACTTTTTAAGATTCAAAACTAGTTGCCCAAGGTTGCCAGATTTTGAAAACGTCAGAAATTTCCCGTGAAAGTCTGGATTCAACGCTTCTCCTGCAAGAACAAGGCGGCGTCACGCCATCGGGTTGCAGAAGCTGAACGGCGACTTCGCCCTGTGCGGGCCACGCCTGCCATGCCGTTCATGGATGGGCTCTGCCTGTCCCTCCTGGGTCTACAGGTGCCCCCGGCTCCCGCTGGTGAACAACGCTTTCTGTGCCCCACACACTCATGCAAGCAAAAGCCGACAGCGCCCGGCCGAGCCTTGTTACTCACTTGTACTTGTAATCAACAACCTGGACTTCGAACATAGACACTGTCTTCAGCGCGTTTACGAGCTGGGAAAAGAGAGAAACATTTAGAATTTCCTTTCCCTCCCTCCCTTCTGTTTTAGCTTTTCCTTCAGGAGTCCGAAAACGTCTTCCTTTTTGCAGGTAAATATTTTTTTCAGCCATTTAATGCCTTTAAGG